AGATATTTTTCATTATCAAATTATTTATATTCAACTTCATTCACTTTAAAAATTGATTTAAGATTTTAAGGTGAACATACAATTTGTACTGGTGTAATAATTGTAAATCCTTCATCTTTTTCATTTCATATTCTTGAAAGAGTTTGGTCAGAAGGTTTATTTGAATTCAGAAAAATTCATGATTTTCATAGCAGTGTTATATTTCTTATATTCTCAATAATATTTGAATTGTATTTTGAACCATAGTGCGCTAGTGTTACAGCTTTTCCTAAGATAGACCAGTTACAGAGGTTACGAAATTACAAATAGATCTGAAGAATTTGAGAAATATTTCCTATCATAATTGTTTGTTGTGTCACAGTATTTTTGTATTCTTTGTTTAGTGTGCACATACAGGGTTGCCGAAAAATGGCTTTACCGAGGTAGACACACATTATTGTGTACATTTTTATTTTGATGCAAAATGCTATGAAAACACTGAATCGTTCTAACAGTAGCAGGATGAAGGAAGAAAAGTATGCTTTTCGCCTGGGAATCGACCTCAGGACAGTGGTATTCACGATCATTTGGTCTGACCGCTGAGCTACCGAGACATAGCCTTTAATACACACTTTTCTTCCTTATAGATGCACTATTAAATAGTGACAACGAGGACTTTTATACGTACATATACCGGATGTTACAAAAATATTGCGACATTTTGAAAAATCTTTCTTTCCTATCCGCATATTAAGATAATTGGTTTATTCGATATAGTTTAAGTAGATACTAGTGCCCCCTACTAAGACAATAGCGTGTAATTTTTTAATTATTCTTCCGTTGGTTTTGCCATGGCTAAAAGTCACGATATCTGAGATATCGTTATTTCCCATTATAAAGATGGGAAAAAAGCTCCAGAAATTGCAAATTTGTTGGCAAATAAGGTTCATCGAAGTACAATTGATCGTTGGCTGCATCGGTACAAACAATCTGGTTCAATTTATGTTAAACGGAATCCAGGAAGACCAAGAACTGGCCGTACAAAAAGACGTATTTATCTTGTGAAAAAAAGACTTGATTCCAACATTTCTCGAAAAAGTTTACGAACGATGGCCAAAGATTTTCAAACTTCTTATCGAACGTCAGTGGATTAGAAAGAACATCAATCGCAATAAATTAGAAAGAATGATGTTTACTGATGAAAAAATTTTCACCAAGAATGGTTATCTCAATCCAAAAAATGATGTTATATGGGCCGATGATCGGTCTGATGCTAATGAACGTGGTAGACTTCATTCAATTCAAAAATATCCAGTGTGTGTTATGGTAGCAGTTGGTGTAACATGGTATGGACTTACACGTCCATACTTTTTTTAAAAGGCGAACGTCTCAATGGTCAAACTTATCGTGATCAATTATTACCATTTTACAAAGAAGAAGGTGACCGGCTATTCGGACACAAAAATTGGGGCTTCCAACAGGATGGGGCTAGCTAATAAAGCTCAAAAATGGTGCAAAAATAACTTCAAATTCTTTATTCCAAAAGAAAAATGGCCACCGAACTCACCTGAACTTAATCCACTTGATTATTCCATCTGGGATAACGTCTCAAGTAATGTGGAATATCATAAGATCAAAACAATCAACGATTTACGTCGAGAAGTCGAGAAAGCAATGAAGAAAGTTGACGTTAGTTATGCACGGGAAGTGATTGGTGCTTTCCTTCGACGAGTATATTCAGTAGAAAAACATAGTGGTGAATTGATAATCGATGAGTATAGTTGATTGTTGTAGTACTCCATCGTAGCCTTTGAGACATTATATTGTTATTTTATTTGTTTACTTTCTCTTGAAATAAATTGATTTTTCTGAAATGTCGCGATATTTTTGTAACACCCGGTATATATACGTATTCGGCAGCATCATGAGCATCATACATAGGATTTACGTATAACTGTCATGGCTTCGCTATAAAAATATGTCCGTTCGCTATTCTAAGAAAGTCGGTAACATATATAAAAAATGCGATTCGGTCTTATATGGTCCTGGTGTGTTCTCAGTTCCAGGCGTACTTGACGATAAAATCAGTTTACGTATAAAAGTCCTCGTTGTCACTGTTTAATAGTGCATCTATAAGGAAGAAGTGTGTAACAAAGACTGTGTCTCGGTTGCTCAGCGGTCAGATCAATGGTTGTGAATACCACGGTTCTGAGTTCGATTCCCAGTCGAAACGCATACTTTTCTTCTTTCATCCAGCTACTGTTAGAACAGTGTTTTCATAATTAGCTCATACAAAAAAACGTCAAAATGCCATGAGAAATTGTGAGAAGTACCAAAATGTAGAAAAAAAAACGTAGTTAACCGGTTTTTTAGTATTATCTGCTAAAAGTTTGTGAGAGAGGAAAGCTGAAGTGGTCACCGTGTACACCTCGAAAAGCTGTATTTTGCATTTATAATTTAAATGATTTTCAGTTAGAATTGAGGGCGCAGGTTCATTTTTTTGCCAGTTTTTCAAAAAATGACAACTGTTTACCATTAATTTGAGCCTTCTAATAAAATAAATAAAGATTAGTCAAAAATAATTCATTCAGGCTGTTTTAATTTTGAAAACAAGTGATTGGTCGTTATGATCAGTTCTCTCAGATTTGAAAAAAATAATTATTTTGGTCCAAAAAAGGTAATAACTTTTGATATTTTCACTTGTAGTCAATGTTGCGTATGATTTTTTTACGCTTCCTTAAGAGATTTACTAGCTAGTTAGCAGCCATTGGTTGATTTTTTGCAACTCGTGTTAGAATGGGTCTGGTGAGCTGGTATTCTTATTTCAAGGGTTTCATAACTTGAGAAGTTTCTCTTAAAAAAATGAAAGCATCGAAACGCAGAGTTTTTCGTTAAAAATGAGCGGTGGCTTAAGATATGGAGACATATAAGCGTAATGGCGTGAAGAAGATAAGAAAGACAAAGAAAAACATAGCAAACCTTCCATTTTTTATCCTCGTCATAATGGAAGTGTGAAGAACTTTATGTCTTTACACGAACGGAAAATGTGAGAATGATTTTTTTGAGATACTGAAGTAAGAAATAACTTATCTTCAGATTGCATTGATAAGAATCTTAGCTCATCGAGAGTTAATGAAATTCTGTGGTCGCTACTGTCTCCACTAGCAAGTGAAGCGATGAGCCATGTTCGACACAGCATCGACTATTGATTGCTGAGAAGTTAATCTTCGTGTGGATATTCAGATTGAAATGATTTTCGCTATACACAACGAGGAAAAGCGTATTTGAAGATGATTGAAGGATTTTGGAATAAAACAGTCATTACATTTTTTGTAGAGAATTCAACAGGGAATCTTCTGGTATAAAACCGAGCTCAATCAAAATAAAAATGTACAGAATTACATGTGTCTGCCTCGATAAAGCCACTTTTGGGCCATCCTGTACGCAGATACATGCGATATGCACCACTGGACTCATATGAATGAGTGAATAGGCTTGTCTGCCACACGAATTGCCACTCTATGAAGACGGACAAAATGTGTGTTAAGTTATTTGAGTTCATTTTAAGTGATAAATGCATTTAATACATGTTCGTCCAGAGACGTAGTTGCCGAGTAGGACCTCCTGGTTTCAGAAAAGTTTAAGGCTTGGCGCTTCAAAGCAAACTTTTTTTGGGAAGACCAAAAAGTTTTTTGGATTGGACCACACCCCTGCTTTGAGATGCTAACTACGCCCCTGTGTACGTCTTTTCATTGAACTTTTCAGCCGGAGAGAATTAATGATGAAATTATCAAGATTTGAATAAGAAAATGATGCTCAGTCGCACTGTGGTCGTCGGACTTGTAAATAAAGAAGAGGCAAACGACTTCATTTCCTGTATAAAAGAGATTGTCATAATTTAAATTCATCATTAAGCATAATGTTATGTTGTGAAAACCTGTTGGTCAGCGCACAGTTAAGGTAGTTCAAAGTTATCGAAAACATTTGTATATTACAGTACAGTAGAAAGAGTACATGTTGTGAGTGAGTGTTTTTAAAACAAACTGTTAAAATAGAATCATACGTAAAGTTTTCAATTTCCTGATCGAAATAGAGAATAATTTGAAAATGGTCGAATACTCTTGGGTATAGATGAACTATTACCATTCTCTCGCTCACTACCGGATTGACTCGTAGTTTAACTGAGATTAATATATCCTACTCTGAGACATTCAGTCTGAACGCATATTTCAGGCGTCCAAAGGGAATAATTCGTACGGTTATAAATGCGTTTACTGCTAATCTACGTTAAGAAACACGAATGTTTTTGCAGTTGTTGAACAGTTCAACCTCGTCTATACGCTTTTTTTTCGTTTTTTCTTTCTCTACATAAGACTCTTTGTTTCAGACGGACATTTCTTTGTTGAACGAGAAAATATTGAGAAATCCCAATTTTTGTCTATATAACTAAGTTAGTCAAATCGTACAAACTACAAACGCACAAATGTCTTTATTCAGCTATCAAAATGAATTATCAAACATAAGTTTCTAACATAGAGTTCTTCCAGCAGTAAAAAAGTCGACTGCGAAAGACATAAATGTTGTTAGTGTTGGAAATTGGAAAAAGTTTGCTCTTATCGAGAGTTGGCTAGTCATAATTAACACATTCCAGTGCGCATTACACGGAGCCTTAAGCTCTTTTTTTCCAGATAGCTTTGCTCTTGCCTATTTCTACATTATACAGCTGTGTTTTTCTTTTCAAGAATCAATAAAAGAGTAGAAGCACGCTGATAGGCTAAGAGCTCTAGAAAATTTCATTTTGCTATTCGACAAACTAAAGCTATTTTCCAATCTCGAAGCCGAAAAAAGAGGTCCTGAACACTGTGGGAAACGTTCGCACTAGAATTGAACTACTTTTTATCATCTCCTTCTCACAGTTTTCTCAATGTCACAGCAAACCAGTTTTTTCATACGGTTTACGAAGACGCATAACAAGTTCTTTGCATAATTCCCCAAAAATGTGCTGTTAAAAACAACACTAACTAACACAGTCCACAGCAACACATATACTCATCATTTTTATACGTTCCGCCATGTCTGGCTGTTCCATCTGAATTCCAATAGACTCCCTTTCCATGTCTCAACCCTTGCTTAAATTCACCTCTGTATTCTTGGTGATTAGAATATGTCAAAATACCACGTCCATCCATCAGATTATGTTTATATTCACCTTCATACTTTGTACCATTTGCATGTTTCATTTTACCAAAACCATGTATTTCGTCGTTACAGAATTGTCCACTATATTCCATTTTACCCGGCGAGACAAGTTTGCCATAGCCGTGTTTTTGATTTTTTTCATTCACTTGACCAACGTAAGTTACACCCTTTTCGAAGTGTAATGTTTTTGTGGCGAGGCCGTTCGAAGCCGCTTGTTCAATATGTGTGAGCGGTGAGACGGTGGGACTTGATTGAGAAGAGCCCATGTAAATCAGTATTGATTAGCTGGAAAGAGAAATAAAACAAACCGACGGTTCGTTCCTAGGAATCATAAAATAACTAATAAAGTTTAGAACACTATTATGGAATATTTTTCCGCTTGTATTCTGACAGAATAAAGCTTATATCAACTAATAAAGATGTAAGATTACTGGAGGAACTGCATCTTTTCTATGAGAGTGCACTTCTGAAGATCAGTAACTTTTGTTGTATTTACTCACAGTCTTCAGATTTACCTATATTTCTTCAATGTAACATTAATTTATAAACTGTTTTTCTATTTAAATATATAGAACAAAATGTGATGAGGAAGGCTGTGTATAATTGTTTACACTCATAATTTTATTGCTTTCCAACTTCTTTCGGTTCTCCTGTTAAAAGAAAAAAGAATTTCATTGTAACGGTGAACATTAGGGCTATTGTGTTGTAACTGAGAGTGGAAAAGAAGAAAGAAAGAAAAACTACCGATGTCAATGGATACGTTTCTACAAGAAGAAAAATAATAATTGAAAGAAAATGAACTCAAACGTGGAAATTATGTTTAAAACTCAAATTTATCACATGAGTTGTGCAGACTCTTCCTTTTCTTTCTAGACAGAAGTGTAATCAATCGAACTTCGATTATTTTTCACAATAGTCTCACTTTAGATCGTAAAAATACGGAAACGGTTAATTAAGAAAACGATTCATGTCGAGTTTTTCTCTACCGTCGGTATACCGTATGTTTAACCGACGGTAACTTATCAGACCAGGGTTTAACAAAATACCACACGGTAACCGTTTTTGTCCATCCACCATTGTATTTTGTACCCATGAAGGTATAAAAGAAGCACAGAAAAATTCGAGAGCTTGATTTCTTCTTCAGATTAAACTTTTATTTTAGATCATATAAATTGGTCGAAGTTTGAACTTCGACTTGAGTCAAAGTTCTCTGAGTCGGGAGGCTGTCTGCTCTTACAAGTGCTCAACAATAAAAAAATTAAGCTGAAAATTAGTTTCGAACTTCTGTTCTACGTGTTCATAATGATAAAATACCAGACGGTACCGCTGGTTATACCGACGGTACAGGGACTTACCGCGTGGTTACCGCCAGTATACAGGACGGTATTTTCGTTTACTGTGGCGGTAACCGTCAGTATTTTGCCGGTATTAAGCACCTGGGAATTATTTAATATGTCAAGTCAGTGAATGGTTTTTTATTACATATACAGAAGAAAAGATAACCTTGACGAAATCGGCCGAAAGTCTATGGATAATGCTCCGTTTCTGGCACTAATCCCAACTAGTAACACCTAGATAAGTAATCTGATATAATTTAATGTTACTTAAATTTTGATATTTATTTTTAAAGAGAAACTGTACAGTGAAAAAAGTAGTGAAAAGAAAAGACTGAGCGCTTTCAAATTCTTGTTCAAAGTCTTGAAGTGGAGAGAAAGAAGTGAAGCTAACTGGAAACGGTGAAGAATGAAGATAAATCATGCCTTTATATAAGGAAATACCTATAGGAAAAAGAATGTTAATCTGTGCAGACCAGAGATGGGTACTGGGTAAATATTCTGTTCCAGTAGCATATCAAAATTTTTTTCCGATAGCGTAAAACGAACGGTAAAAGTATGAACACGATGTTATTCGGTGCAGAAATGTTCGCTCTACACTCTTGTTCTTGTTCTTGTTCTCTTGGTAGTTTCTGTCCCCTAATATTTCTGAGATTTTTCTATTGGAATCATGTCAGAGCATGCGTAGGAACATTTCCTGACACTTAGTTTCTCGAAATCTTTCCATCGATTTTTGGAGGCCTGTGGTTAGAGAACTGCACTACCCTCCGGAACCCGATTCCAACACCGACTCCGACGGAGCCGGAGTCGGAATCGGAATCGACAATTTGAAAATTTTCGGCGTCGAAGCTGGAAGCGGAATCGCAAAAAAATATTTTTCGGAGTCGAAGCCGGAACTAAAAAGAAGGATTTTTCGGAGTTAAAATCGGGGTCCGTTGACAAGACTAATAAAATTGTTTATTTTTGCTCCAAAAAGAAGGGTATTCATAAAGGTTATTTTAATATATGAATCATA